AATCTCTTGAGTGGCTTGTAAAATTTGGTTAAAAAGTTGTGATTTTTTTGACGATTGTATGAACCTTGAACAGAATGAAAACACATTTTTTCGACGCTAGTAGTAAACTGGAAGATTAATTGAGAATGTCACATGAATGTTGAAAATAACAAGCAATCTATATATGTGACTTCATATTTGACTTTCTGTTGACTCCTGATATGATTCTAGCTAGCATGCATAAGAGAAGGGAGAGAACTATAAAAAGAGGAAAGAATCAAAAGCGTAAGAAAATCATATTTTGTAATTCTCTACCAAAGTCATGGTTAATATGACAAAACATCCCAACACCTTCTTGACGGAGAGTTATAATTTTTTGTGCATGTGTTGTAAAACAAATTTCCGTCATTAAAGATCTAAATCACACATCGGACGTTTTTTTAAAATAAGGAATTGGCAAGAAACTTCATGACTTTCAAAAAAATTTGAAGCGGTTGTTGGAAAAGTGGGATATCGGTAACAGTTTGTTAAGGAAGGATGTAAGGTTTACATGGGAGTTGGAGATGGGATAGTACTGCCAGACACTGATTCTAAGTGATCCGTAATGCCTTCCTTATTTTGCTAGAAGTTTGTCGAAAGAAGGTGACACCGCAGATTTAGAAGGATAGCTCTTAGGCGCAGGGCCATTTTCATGCCGCAGAAATCTCACCTTAATTGAATGAAGACAGACTATATTTTGCGCTTATAGCTTTCTTCATTAGCATAGTGTTGCGGAAAGAAGACTTACTCAGCACTTAAGATTACGTCGGATAGCCACATAGCCCATCTTAAATACGGGCTTCCCCAAGGCTACGGACTAGTGTGGCCAGTAAAGTTGAATGCGCACCTATAGACGTCCTAATGTCGGACTCGGTGGGCATGTGACACATTAGAAGACGTTGGCGTTTTTCTCTACTACAGAAACTCTTATTTTACACATTCTTTTTATAATACGTGGTAATAGATTCAAGAAATTCGCCCGAATATTCGATTATTCATAATAAGCTCATCATCACTTAAACATTCATAACTTCAACATACGTAAATCACACAAAAGACAGCACTGGTAATTTTTCCTAAACATTTTCGGAAATAATTGTATTTCAAGCTTCTATGAAAGAACTCCTCTACCAACTGTTTTTTAATGATCATTCGTATTTTGCTACTATACTGTGTACTTGTTTCAATAATAATTCTGGATGATCAGTCTTTCCTTTA